GAGATGAAATGCTGGTTTGGTAGCGACGCTACAAATACACACAGCGGCTCTATCACGTGACACATACTGCTCCGACGTTCTACGGTTATGAGCCGAGTTACGCCGTGTCGCAAGTTTTGTGAGGTGCTTTTTTGATATTTAATGGATCGGATTACATTTTTTATTTCTCTCCGATATCCGATCCAGTAATTTACGTCAGTATCGGACCGATACGTAATATCGGATCGGTCCATCTCTAGGACAAACAGAAACAGTTTGAAAGAGCTTCAGGACGCCTGGAGAATTATTGATTAAGACCAGTTTACAGGGAGAGTCTGAATCCTTTAAAACATAAGAAATTAGGAATAGCTCAAGACTTTTGCACAGTGCTGTATCTGTTTGAAGCTGTACATTATGTCTTAGACTCTATCCGCGTTTGCTTGTTTTTCCCCAACAGCCCTGATTCTGGAAGAAATTGCCATCGACTGTCACAACAAAGAGACAGAAGAGCGCCTCCTGCAGGAGGCTCACGACCTGCACCTCTCCTCACTGCAGCTGGCCAAGAAGGCTTTCGGAGAGTTCAACGTACAGACAGCCAAACACTATGGCAACCTCGGACGACTCTACCAGTCCATGAGGAAGTTTAAGGTGAGGAGGACATGTGTGGTTTGTAATATTTTACACAATAATTAAAATTAAGGGGCAATAAACCATCCCAGCGTGTGCAGGTTGTGCTGCCTTGTGATAAAAATAATCTCAGTGTAAGGCAGAGAACAGTTTTCCATATTCACCTCGTCTTGATTAAGAGATGATTGTTTGTGTGAGAGTGAGTCACATTGTGCTCAAACCACTGTTTGTGGGAGACTGAATGGTTTTTGCTATTTAAAGCCAGAAATGATGAGATGTGAAATATTGTCATTGCAGTTGGTGGGGATACCACAAATATCAGAGTGGTGCACATTTCTAAAGAGTGGGCACCAGTCTTAGGCTACGTTCACACTGCAGGCGAAAGCACATCAAATCTGATTTTTTTGACCCTCTGCGACTCATACCCGATCATGGCGTGACAGTGTGAACGGCACAAATCCAATATTTTCAAATCCGATCAGGGTCACTTTCGTATGTGGTGATGAATCCGATACATATCTGATGTTTCAGAAAGTGACTGCTGTTTGACGGTCATGTCGCATTAAATCCGTCTTTTTTTTTTTTTTATTACTTAGTTTTTAATAAAGGTTTTACATATTTTTACAAAAGAAAAGGAAAACAACAAACAACCAAAAACAACAATAACAAAACAAGCAGTCGACTGGAAAGCACAGCTTTTTCCCACAAAGCAATTCTGGCAGTGAGAACATGACTTTATATTCATGAATTGACAGCACATCTACAGATGTAAGAGCAGCTTAGGAGAGG